GCCGTAAGTCGCTGGCCCGTACGTCTCCGGTAAGCCCCTAGCCCTAGGTCTTGTTTAATGATGCGCGACATCGTCCGGACAGGAATCTTCATTTCCCTGGATAGGATCTTCTGCTTCCGGAGTGGATTCCTTTGAATCCTGGCTTTTACGGCTTTGATGGCTGCTGGAGTCCTTACTTGACGAGGTCTTCCGCTTCTTGGCCTGTCATCAACAGAGGACGTCTCATTGTACCGCTGAATGGTCCTAGACACAAATTTACGCGATATTTGAAGGCCGCGTAAGAGTTCAAAAATCTGACTAGCACTGTGATTACACTTATGTAAAGCTATCACTGCAATACGGTTCTCTGCCTTGCCCCACTCCATCGTTATGCTTCGAGAGATCAATACAAACTGAGGTATATGTAATTACCCGAAAAGCGCTTAATCAACTGACACCACAATGTAAACAATCGGACAAGTATTAACAGGTCTACACTTGTTTGAAAACGAGGGACAGAACTTATGGCATGACTATGTAGGATTTGATATTATTCACAGTGGGACATATCTTTGTTTGATTCCCAGAAAATCTAATTCTGCAGAGGGACGAAGACATGTATTGACAGTCCCTGTTAAGCTCATTCGGGGTCAAACTGATCACCACAAGAGCCACTTAGATACCAAGTTCGCAGAAACATCAATCCATTATTTAGAGAATATAGCATCCATACTTGGACCAGATCAAGTATTTTTCATATCTCAAGTCCCTATTGGCGTAACTGCGGCAAATAAGCAAGCACCTCTTCTAATGCACATGGAATATAGAATCAAATTGCCTGATCATGACTGGGTAATCGCTGAGCGTCATAAATTAATACCATCTGTTTATGCTGGTATCAAAATCACTTCCAATATGCTAGGTCAACCGCAAGCCGTTGGATATTCTGGACCAACATACATCACTATTCGAAGTGGAAAGCATAGTACATCTACTGCTAATACTCATGCTCAGGATTTCGAGACGCTTCTCGAACTTGAAGAGTTTCGACAATTGACCAATGACTAGTAAAACCAGTGGTAATCATGACGGTTGGAGGGCCAGATTAAAATCCACGTTATCAAAACGTCATAGGGTTTGCTAGACAACACTTTAAGCGACATGATCTCGATGCATTGTTTTTAGCTACCAATGCTCCTGGAAGAAGTGCGTATAACAGAGTAGAGCGCAGAATGGCTCCTCTTAGTCGGGAACTGGCTGGTTTAATATTGCCTCATGACCATTTTGGGTCTCATTTGGATGAACGTGGCGTTACAATTGATGAACATTTAGAAACATCTAATTTCGAATGTATTAGCTGAAGTATGGAGTTCAATGGAAATTGATGGCTATAATGTTAATGCAAAATATGTTGGGGCAGGTGAACAAGATCTTCCTGATTTTCCAGACATTAAATGGTATTCAGAACATGTGCGTGAGAGCCAATACTTGCTTCAAATTGTAAAATGTAGAAATACAGAATGCTGTCGTCCAAGAAGTGGCCTATTTAGATTACTAGACAATAGGTTTCTTCCACCACTGTAAAAGTAAAACAAACGGAGCGCCATTTCCTAATCTTCCAGTCAATTTAGGTCTACGCTTAACTGCTTCACTCAAAGATTTCCTGCAAATGCCCTACGATTATTTTTGTCCGACGGTAAAATTGATGCTATCAAGTCGAACATGCAAAACGTGTGGTCTTTATCATGCTTCCGTCAAGTAACTAAATCGTCACATCGAAAATATCCATAAAAAAGTAAACACGCACACTGATAGGAAAGTTAGACCTGTAAGAGTCGCTGCTCGTCGTGCTAATGAACTGATGTGCATTATTCAAAATTTAGAGCACCATGATGTTGAATGGCTCGATGAGAACGACGTAGACATTCAAAAATCCGATGAAAGCTAGCAAACTCACAACACTGAGCAGCAATCGAAGCAATCTGATGTTCATCGAAAACTTAGAATTATGGATTCAGGTTTCATGGACTGAAGACTTATTTGAATTTAATATATGTACCAAACATTTAAAATAAGTTTGTTATGTTAGTAAGATATAATATTTTTGTCCTTTACTCTATGTTGAATACTGTATCAGTAAAATATAATCTCTATCTTAAATCTATTTTCTTATTTTTCAAATTATAATTATAACGTTATAATTATAATATTAAAAAAAAAAATAATACATTAATTGACAAATGTTTACGTAAGTATGGAGGCAGGGGGTAAGAGCTTTGCTTACTTTTGCTGACAAGGGGGATGGGGGGGGTAAATAATTGTAATAAATGTGCTTATGTAATACTTGAACAGCCCCCTAAGGATCTAAGTGTTGAAATTTAATAAGTAGTAGGTAGGTATTATCTCACTAAAATCATAAATCTGACAAAAAAATGTCAAAACCTGTTGAAAATGGCTGGTATTCCCTGATCAAATGAAGAAAGGTTTGACAGTACTGTACTTGCAGTTACTCAGAAACACATTATCGCAGCAAGGTACTTGCAGATGTACCCCGAACGACGGCAGCCTCATAAAACCCAATTTAGAAAAATAGTAGCTAATTTAACAAACCATGGGGCCTTCGAACAACAGATACAATACTGAAAATGAAAACCGTGACAGAAACATTTTACAAGCTGTCAACAAAATCCCTAGTATATCAGTAAGAACTATAGAACGAGAAATTGGTGTATAGTGCAAGAAAAAGTACCATCGATACAAACCTAAAATAGTTCAAGGACTTAAGGAAACTGAATTTCTAAGGCGAAAGTGCTTCTGTGGGTGGATGTCTAATAAAAACCCCGATTTTGTAAATCATGTCTTGTAGTACAATGAGAGTACGTTTACGAATTTTGGAGTTTTTAATAAGCACAATACTCATCATGGAGCTGTGGAAAACCCTGACAAAGTGGCAGAGAGACGTCTATAGGCAAGATTTGGAACTAACATTTGGTGTGGGGTCATTGGTAATTCAATCTAACTTATTTTTTTTAATTGGGCACCTATTTGAAATTAGGTATTAATTATTTCAAGAAATTGACTTACAGGACCATTTTTGTTTGACTACAAGCTGAATGGGCAAGGGTACTGAGAGCTTTTGCAAAACCAGGTTGTGCCGGAGTTACGAGCTAGTCTAACCGAAGATGAGTTTAGGAGGACCTGGTTTCAACACCATTTCAGGAACTTCTTAAGAGAGCAGATTGATGGAAGAATGATTTCATTAAATGGTTTAATATCTTGACCTCCTAGATCCTCTGATTTTTCACCCTTGGATTTCTACCTATGGGGTCACACAAAGAATGAGGTCTATGAATTTGATCCTCGCGCGACCATAGAAATCCTGAGACAAAAAATTTTGAGCACAGAAACATTACCTGAAATACACTAGCTTAAGTTGTATGAAAAATAGTCACCAATTGTAAATTAAAATCAAATAGATTTTACATTACAATTTTGTAAAATGTTTGTTTGTTCAAGTGTAAAATAAATTTACGACGATTTTTCGGACTTCTTTTTTAACACACTCATAGTTGGTAATTCGCCCCAAAACATTTGACTTGTTAAGAAGTCAATATTAACGTTAATATTCTATTGAAAATCCAAGACGTTTAAGGCTTGATGATATTTCGGTGACACTAGAATCTTTTATGCACTTGAGACATTACTAGACTGGAAATTTTACTCTTATCAAGAAATCTAATATGGTGGCCATAAGAAAAATGAAAGTATTGGTGGGTTGCTGGAAAGCAAAAAGCGATTGAGACATTTCATACATGCTATCTTATTTTTCTTAAAAAAATGTATGAATAATGTCACACTTTTTCAGCTGTCAAATTAACCATTTTGGATTAACTGGCAAAAAACAAATTCCGCCATTTTCGGTTTTACGCTGATATTTTCAAAACCAAATGACCTATCGTAAGTTTGAAGCCGGCCATCGAAAGCATTAAGTTTCCTTAAAAACTTTCTTCATTTAACCTTTGCTGTAGGTGTAACACGAGCCAAGATCCCTGTATAGAGAAGCGAATCTGGGACACATGGTATATAGTTATTAGTCTGGAGGATATGCTCTTTCCAGGAAAGTATCTAGCACTCATATAAGTATAGCAAAAATAAAAATGGATTATGTTAGCAATGTTAACCTTAAATGAGTGAGCATCTAAAATAATAATAAATTGTAGGATGCCTTTATGGGCTCCTTGATTTTCATAGTCTTTCCTCTCCTTCAGAAAGGCTGAGATGTCTCTCATTGTCAGGCTATGTTTTCTTCTTGAATTGTAGGAAATTTCAGGGTATATTATAGATGATATAAATCAAAAGTATGAATAATTTGATGCAAATAGATATTTGTAACATAACCTCAAAATAGAGCGCTGACATAGAAAAGTAGAAAACTATGAAAATCAAGGAGGCCATAAAGGCATGCTACAATTATTATAGTGCTATTCTACCACTGAACTCCACAAAGATGTTTACAAACATATCTTAAATCATAATGTTGCATTGAATCATTATTGTAGAGGGCTACATTTGAGAAAGGTATGAAGTATATTTATTCAAAATATTTCATGATACATCTTCAAAATATTCTGTGATGTAATGAAAAAACAACATTTGTGGTGTGATACAAAGTCCTACATTGCGAACTGAATGTTTCCATAAATTGCATATGAATTTAGATGCTGTTCCCATCAGCTATGAATTGATTTTCATCCCACAAGTCTCGAGATTTGCTGCAAAGGGTTAACAAACTAAAGCTACCAACTGCACTCAAATGTTCTTAATGTATAACTAGGTATAGATAGCTCTTCATGCTCATCCTTATAACAAAGGTGAACTTCTATTATCATTTACTGAACTATAGTTTAGTTTTTCGTTTCCAAAATAAACATAATTAAAAATTAATGTAGCAATCACAAAAAGTGATCATATACAATAAAAAGAAGACATTTCCTTCAGTGCATTCTTTATTAAAAATGTGTTAACAACAAAAATAAGATGCCATGTTTATACATACACATGTGCATCTATGACACTTACACATCATGCAATAATAAACAATACTTTTTCTGATAAAAGGTTCAAAAAATACATAAAAAACCTAAAAAATATAATAAAATATTTTTTAGAACTATTATTTTGCACTTCACTGAAAGATAGCACAAACATGCAACGTAATAGGATGCTTCTTTGTGTACAAGATTGACAAAAGCAATCTTAACGTTTTAATGAATATTTATATCAATGTGGCTCTTCCATCCATAACACTGCTTTTTTATAATCAACCAAATTTGTAGATATTCTTGTATAATGAAAATCTACTTTTTGTGAATTTCACTTGCATTTATTCAAAGCAAGAATTTTAGTATTATTATATGTTCACAGCCTTCACAGAATAGTCAATTTCCAGTAATTATCTAAAATGCATCAACACAGAGTCACAAGTTTTGATATGAATGAGTTATGACATACTTGTACAATACTGTAATAAAATTGCAAAAAGGTAAATGTTATTTCCTTGCATCTTTTATCAACAAATAAGTATAAATTGTTTGTGTATGTTTGATTTCAATATTTTGTAATACAAATTAAGAGTATTTGCATCATTATGGTATAAAAATATATAGTATGCAAAGATCAACATACTTTTGTTGTAGAGTTGAATTCTAGTTGAAGGAGACTAATGGTAAGTAATGAAAAATAGATTTGTTTACCATTATAAGCCATATGAATAAATTAAATATTTTAAAAATAAATTCTAGATACCACATTAAAATATATGGAAAATGGTATACATGAAATATAACATTTTTTTTTTAAATTTAGCTATATACTATGAACAAAATTGATTTTCTACATCAAATCCATTTTCATTTCACAATATTAATAAATAACCATAAGGCTCAATAAAACAGAAAATACAACAAACCTGGTAGATATATACAAACAAGTGAGAATATCTTTTAGTTTACAATAATAACAATAGCAACACTCTCAAAACCAAATAGATTGTTAGTAAGAAATGATTTCACTACATACACAAACACTATTCATCATTCACTATCACTGATTAACCCGCACAGACTCACTAAAAAGGGCACTTGAATTATAACAAAAATCATTTTAGTTTTGCCACTAAACTGCACAAGATTTTTTAAATCAACTTTGCAATACCTCATATATTAAGAACATTTGAGTGACTCTTAGCACTAAAACCCAAATATAAAATTACTAACCACATAATCTTGCATTTCCTGCTCTTTAGCAGTCAACCTACGCACAAGAATCTTTTCCCTTTGCTGAGAGTCTGTCAGTTGGGCCCTAGTTTTCTCAACTGTATGTCTCAGCTCTGTCAGCTCCCCTGTAATGACCACACGTGTGTTAACCAACCCGACACTACGCACTGCACTGCACTATGCACTGCACCAACATGATACAGATCATTTTGTTGTATTGCTCTTATTACACCCACATTCATATTATCAAGCCCAATGTGACACTTTACACCCACAAGATTGATATACTCTCAACTGATATTGAACACTATGGTATAAAAACTGAAAAAGTACCTTCTTGTTGTGTCGGCTTACGCTCTAATAGAGTCACATATGATTCTTGCTGTCGCCAGCGGTTTTGCCACTCGAGCGCCGTCAAAACCCCCATTTCTTGGTCCGAGACAAGCACTCTGCATGGAGCCTTGTCTCTTTCTGCAGGACTGGTGGGATGCTGCACCTCCTCTGCCTCTGACATACTGAAATCATGGAAAGCGGCTGTATAAGCGACAAAATATATTCAACTTGGATTTATGATTTTCAGTGAATTGTACAGATGGTATTTACGTATTTTAGAATCTATAGAGTGCTGCGAATGAAAATTATCGGGCAGCCATGTTATTTATATCAAAGGAAGCCAGTGATGTTTGTTACGTTTTTACTTACATTTTCGATATTTTGAAGCAATCAGTTTTAACACCTTAATTTAACTGTCCTAAAAGCGTTACGAGAAAAACTAAGACTAAATAAAAAATACATCTAAAACGAGAATTAAATAAAATTAACAGAATAGCTATTTGACGCCATTACTGCTCAAGGTGACTGACAACTTGACATATGACAGAAAATTGACAGCTGACGAGAGTGGTGCAATGTTGCCATGTGCAAGAGAATTGACTATAGGACTGAAGATATGGTTCGAACGCTCTTAGAATATGACCGCTACGTCATCGTGGGCGGGTCCGCTCATCATGCGGTCGTCGACAGAGCGCAGTGGCGTTCTATTTTATTTGAAGTATAAAATAAAGTGAATAGGTTGTGTAGACATTGATCATTAATTGATTTTTGTATTATTATATTCATTTAGTATGCGCATTAAGTTGTTCGGAAGCAAATTTGAATTAGAAGAGGGAGCAAACTAAAGACGGTTATAATTCAAATTATATATTATCATTAAAAAATCTAATCGCTATCAGATGATTTTAGCTTCAAATCTTCATCTGAGTCGCTTTCGTCACTATCTTCTGATGATGACCCTGTGTTCACATTGAATTGATACTTATCCATTTGATCGTCGAGGAGATGTTCTTTTTCCATTTGTGCTTGCTCATATTTTTTCACGTGGTTACAAATTTTCTTCCACTCATCTGCTCCAATTTCTTCAAACCTGCTACGGGTCAGATGCTCCACATCAGACAACCTAAATGTCACATTTCGTGGAGCAACCCAGTTTTTTACGAGAGCCCAAATCTTCTCGATTGGGTTTAGCTCCGGATGATATGGAGGCAGTCGTAAAACTTTATGCCCGTGCTGTTCCATTAAGGCATCTAGCTTGAATTTGACTGGAAATCTTCTTTTATTTTTCTGTATTTTTTTATATAGTTCGGCCTTAGTTAATGAGTTTTCACTGGGAATTTGATGTTTTTCTAGCCAGTCAATCATCTCTGATTTCAGGCTAGAAGACGTTACATTTTTTTCTTCCAGGACATTGTGATAAGAAGCGTTGTCAACTACAAGCACAGAATTTTCAGGCAAATTTGGGATCAATTGGCTTTCTACCCATTTCATGAAGTTCAAATGATTCATGTCGTTGTGGTAGTCCCCAGATTTTGAGCCTGAAAATAAAATACATATAATCCAGTAAATGTAAAAATATATTGGAAATATTTTACATCGTTGTAACACAAATAATACCTGATTTAAATATCAACAAGGCGTTAGGAATAAAGCCGAATTCTCCACCAGCATGCACAATAATCATTCGTTGTCCTTTTGATAAAGGCGTTTTTAGTTCCTTGTCATAATTATCATCTGACCATCCTTTTTTTGGGGTATGACTAGAATGTATATATGTTTCATCCGTATAAATTATGTTCCTGTTCTCAGCTCTATATTTCATAATTTGCTTCAGATATTCGATAGGCTTCAAGCGAATTTCATATTTTTCCATGAGAGCTTTTTTATTATCAGTAGTTCTTTTCCATCTGTAGATATAAATTATATTTATAGCGTTGTAAATCGAAAACCTTATAGTGTGTATGAATACTGACCTAAAGCCCATTTGTTTCAAAAGTTTGTTCAAAGTCGTTATTTTTCCCTCAAAATTGAGTTGTCGATCTTGCATTTTTTGGTAAATACCTAAAAAATCTTAAAATGAAATATGACTAGATGCTACGGTTACAATTTAAAAACTTACATTTCAGCGAAGGTCTTCTTTTCTCCAAAATATAAAAATCGTATATGATTGCTTTCATTTCTTCAATTTGGCCTGCAGTCACTTTATCCACAACAGGTGATTTTCGTTGCCGCTTTTTAGATGGGGATGAAAATGAAAAGTTGCTTGAATATATTCCATCTCTGCTCTCTTTAGCTATTTTTTGATAAGTACATTTACTTATACCCGTGGCAGCTAACACACGTTTCCTAAATGGGTTAATCAGTTTTAATTGACAATAATTATAAAAATCTTTTACATTCATACATACCGGTATTGTTGAAGTGGAAACTTTAATCCCTCTACACTTTCCTGTACCATGAAGTTATTGACATTGTTGACAATTTCCTTTCCTTGACTCCCAATCGCCTTTCCTTTCACGCCAATCTCTTTCACAGACATTGTTTAGATCACTGGTTCAAAACTATTAATAATTTAAATTTGAACAATAGTAAAAATTTCCACTATATTGCAATCTATTTGACAATTTTTACACACGGTGCCTTGTTCAAATTAGTTTACAAACTGAACTTATGACTAACGGACAGGTTTATATATCTGTTGCAGGTAAAATAAATGTGATTGATTAACACTCATCGTCTTAACGCTACTTACGAATGAAGGGATTTAGCAACCGGGAATTATTCCAGGTAGTTCAATTTTAAACTTGTTATTATTAGATTTGTTTCTACTAATTTTGTTTACCTAGGCTTGAAATTGGTATTAGCCTATTTATCTAGGTACTAATGATGCAGTCTAGGAAATCTCATGATTGGTATAGATATAAGCGGATCTCAGTCTTAGGATTAATTTAATTACTTTCAGTTGTTTGCCAACTTTGGGGTTTTACCCTTCAATATTGTGTCTATTATATGTAGGTACCTGCTCACTATTTTAAATTTTGATTTATGGATCTCCATCAAATATCCACAAACCCCATAAGATTAATAATTTTCAACACAATCAAATATAAAATATGATATGGTTAATAAATAAAAAAATAAATAAGTCGAACAAACGTCTCATCAGATCCCAATTGTGTCAACAATCTCAACTTGCGTATCTACATACAAAAAAACGTTCCGCCTATGGCTTTCTGAGAGTGGGATGTCCCTTAACAGCGTCAACAGCAACATAATTTCTGGATATTGAAGACCACATACATTTTTAAGCTTTCTACGATATAAATATTCGCCACGATTAGAACTGGACCACATTAAGAGGGCGGTAACAGATGTCCATAAATCTTACCAGTGACTGTCACAACAATTTCCTATATTCTTATAGGGTACAATCGACGCAAGGGAGAGGGTATAAAGTGATGACGTAGCGGGCATAACCTTAGGCTGTTCGAACTATATCTCTGAGGCTTCCAGAGACCCCCCTTGTCGGTCTGATGCTGATCCTCATATTTATCATGGAAATTGTATATTTTGACTATGCCTGATCACCCACAGAAACGACCCAGGGTTAAGGATCGACAAAGTATTTCCCATTTTGGTAATTGTTGGTTTGTTGAACATCCGTCGTCAAAAGTCGAAAATCCTTACGAGCAACTATTATTTTTAAAAAAGTTGCTCATGTTTAAAATACATTAAACAAAGAAAAAGATCTCACCTATCACGGTGTTTTTGCAACTTCATCTCCTCTATGTAAGATCCAATCCACACTTGGATGACAGCACTTTGCATACAGGCGTTTACAGTAGAGATAAACAATATCATTATTTAACAATACCTGTGCCTGCGATATCTGATACCGTTACTTTTTGCTATCAGTGAATTTGAATAATGATGAGATTATGGGTATACAGGCCATAGTAGTCTCATGATGATATACGATTTTCGACCTTAGCAGATAGCGTGTATGCGCATCTCGCGCATATTCAAACGTTAACGCCGTGATCCCATATGATGCCATTCGCTGTTACCGTGAAGTACCTATGGTCCTTCGATCGAAAAAAGAAACTAAACCTAAGCATAGTCACGCATACTTCACGTGATCATGCACCAGAACCAGAACGCACCTTTCTCTTTTGGCAGTGGCATTGATTCTGCCCAATAACCGTTATGCTTCTTGTTTCTTGAAAATACCAACGTGATAATAACGCACTAAACACGGCTGGTTATTGTTTTGATTTAATGTCTTTCTTGGATAGATCGACTTTAGTTCCAGAGGTCGTGATTGAGCCACGCTTTAGCACGGTATTTGGTAACACGAATATAAATTACTAAATCACAGATCGTAAAATATCTGCCACCACTAATTTAGAGTGACGACATGACTTTGCGGTTGAGCTGGGGAGAACCAGACTAATAGTATGACGCCCTGGCCTATTCGGAGAAAGCGAGAAAGCCTATTTGTTTATTGATTTTAAACTTTTATGGTGATCTTGAACCTCTCTCATACACATGAGTCGCCGACGATCTCTCTCTTTTCTATCAATATCATATCCCAACTGAATTTGCTCATCATGATGCCACCGATTTCTAGATTTGTTACAGCTATACAAAGCGAGCCCACTGTACAAGACGTTCAGAGATAAGGTTAGCAAGGTATATTTATCTCATGTTTTAGTCTCATTTTAACGTACGCCGTAGGTCGTTAGTTAGGTCCTGCCTTCACTGCTTTAGTATTAAAAAGGTTCCTAAAAGAGATTTGTGGCAACAGTGCAGATAAGGATATCAGCGCGGTATATTTTGAATTTGAACTATAAAATGAGGATCTGGCCAGTTGGTCATCGACCAGTGCCAATAACAGAACAAAAAAAAAACAAAAATGATAATAATTTCTTGAAAATTGCTAACTAAACCGTGTTTTCCAATATATTTTTAAATATTCATTCTGACGCCTTAGTACTGCTCCGACGCTCCAGACTGGAAAAGGCACGAGGATCGACTTAACTCGTGCAGGTTCAGAAGCCAAACATTTTTTAACACCCCTCCTAGTGAATTTTCTTCGCTTTTAGATTTCTTTCGATGAAATACGAGGTGTATTAAACTTTTTTGTTTATAATAAAGTTACTATTAAGAAGGATGTTACATAGACGCACTCAAAGCTCTCGACTTAAGCACCCCTTTAGTCCGCTACTGAATAAGGAGTGATGGAAAGAATGGAAAGTCAAGAAAATTTATGTTGGAGGTGTGTCTGTTATGTACGGATGGCGTAGTGGTATTTTTACTTGGTTCCGGTTGTTCATATGATAAAAATATTTCTGTACTGTTGCCATATTTTAGAAACTAGTTCAAACAAACTAATTACTCGGAATAAGATCAAACCAAAACCTAGGAATACTGAGTTACCAGTAGAAGAACCACTCCATCGAAAATACAGATTCTGCAGTGGTGGCATTACTTCTGGTGGCTGAAATGCTACCTGCCATTTGGTTAGGACCTTGTATTCATTACCTGCGGTAATAACCCAGGAAGTATCTTTCCATCTGCTCGGAAATATACTCTGAATAGGTTTTTGCACAACCTTAATAAAAAACAAAAACAATTTTTGACGCGATTTTAGATTTTATTTTATTAAAGGGGTCTTTTTGAATGAGATTAGGCAAAAAACAATCAGAATATTTTTCTTAGCAGATATGAAGATACTTCCTGTACTATAAGTACCCAGCTAGTCGGTGACCCTTATCCCGTCGGAAGTGGCTCGCGTGGCTGTTGGATGTGTACCGAGCGATTCACTATGACAAGTTGGTGCTGCGTGCCTAGATGCAAACTGAAGTAGGGAAATGGCGTTCCGATGCATTGCTAATGATTTTAGGCAAGTATTGTTATTCCAGCATATTTGGAATCCGTTTTTTTCAAACAGGAGTTCAGGTTGAAGTATAATTGACGAAGGAGATCCATCCAAAATGTATCTATGATTCATGAGTGTACCAGTGTCAAAAACGCGATATCACAAAAATGTGATGTGTAGTTTTACTTCTAATTTCCAAATTAGCCTATGCTCAGTTTTGAGGTTTGATAGTGTCTTTGCGGAGCTTCTTTGAATATGTTACGGAATTCGAGGGAACATTTACACAGAACTTGGTTGAGCTGGCTTAAGTATACAACGCAGGAAAACTACTGAAAACTAAAATCTTGGGCGAAAGTTTATTCACGCTTGTGAACAGTTTTTAGCTGATTATTTTTTTACACACAAGGCCTCATTTATTTTCGATTCAAATATGTCAACCGGGATTAGTCGCAACTAGGACAAATAAAGCTAATCCTAAATTGATAATATGGATGGAGTATAGTTGCTCAGCTTTTGTTCAACCTACACCTAAGGAGTTGCCAAATATCACTACAGCTATCCATGGTTGGCCGTCGGTGGTCGCACGGTTCAAAGCTAAACCTAATAATGATTTGATCTATGGATAGTTTAGGAAAGTTACTAATTAAATGGTACATCTGCTGCAGTGACATCATACCATATCATGTGACCATACAGTATATTCCATGTTTAGACAAAATCAGCACAGTGGTTACTGAGGTAACGTAATGACAAAGAAGACAGTGCGACAGATGAACCATCGCCAGTCAGTGACGAAGAGACTAAAAACTATTTTTCAACTCGCAACTTTTTTATGCACAGGATAATTGTCACCCATTGACCATGCCATAAAAACAATATTATCATGAATCACCCTGTGTAAATACAATTACTCGATGCTATTGCAAACAATTTTTTGACAACCTATTCCGTACGGCACGAGTATCACGTATCTTGAAAAGTGATATTATGCCGATTTTTTTTGACATTATGCTGTTTTTTTGGACATTATGTAGGTTATTTTACAAGATGTTAACCTAGCACTTATGTTGTACGTGTTGCCGAAACGTCATGAGGCTTATTATCAATCTTTGCCTCTGATGTGATGTAAAATCTGCTTCTAAGATGGCATTACTGGAGGTCCAAGCTGTAGGTTGTATGTGTTGATGATAATTACATTGGGTTCTTGTCTCAAATACACTTAATTGAGATTCAAAGCTAGAAATTAGTTGCGCATCCACTTTTTCTTATCCATTCGGGAAATTACATATACAAATTTGCTGAATTTCAAAAATGATAGATGAGAAATAATTATATTCACTGTACACCGTCGAATTACAAGACATATACATGCTAACAGTAATTACACACAACGCGAGCGCGGTGATGATTTCCCGTAATTCTCCTCAGTTTTTCGTAATTTATAACTTTGAACATAACCTTTCTTCAGAAAGCACAACATATAAATAACCCGTCATATTCGGCATATTCAGTGGGCCGTCGGCGATCTAGCTCTCTTCTATCGCTACACCAACGGGCTTTGCTCCTCAGAGTCCTCTTTCATGATGCCGCAGCGCGATGTGCCTGCCAGCCAGGCCCGCCTGACTTTGGCCTCTCATGCTAATCGTGTCGAACTTCGTACATCCAAAACTCGCCGATACGACCGCTTCTTTGTCCCAAGGATGTCGAGATTGTGGGACAATCTACAAGAGGAAGCTTTTCCCTGTTCCACTAACGTTAGGCAGTTCAAAAATCGGAGTAACAAAATTACTTTGGGATCCTCATAACAGCCTGCGCGGCTTCTTCGGTATAAAAACAAAAAAAAGTTCCTAGGTAGACCTTAATACATATTATCAGATTTCATTTATTTCGTATATCACACCAGACCTCAAATTGATCATAGCAACAGAGTTTGGACGACTGAGAAGAGAAATAAATCGAGCACAGAGCAATGTACAGAGAAGAGTCAGGCTTTGTCTACAAAATAACGGTCATTTTGAACATCTGCTATGATTTAGCTCTGGATTTTTGATTATTATTGTTATTATCATCAATAAAATTTTCATTTTGTGTTCAGGTTTCAACATATCTTTAATAGCGTCATTTTGCAGTGATTTTTTTGTAATGAAATTGCATATCAAGGGCGCATATGGTTTTTGGAAATCACTTTCCTAAGAAAAAAAATAACAAAATAAGAGTCCGGTTTTGACCATTTTCGTCTACTTTTCCTGAACTATGGAGTTGTAAGTGAAGGGCTATTTATGTGGTCGTCTGACCGCTGGAAGGGGAACGTCACCGCTCGCTGCGCTTTTCCGTCCCGACGCTCCGCCGCCACGCCTACGGCGTCGCGTTACAAGACGACGCTCGCGGTTCGCGTCGCGTCGCTAAGTCCGTCGGTTCATTCAGTCGCTGGTTCGATTCCGCAGGAAAAGGATAGACAAACAGACGTACAAGTTGCGTGACACTCCTCTGCGCCGTCTACCCGATCGCGTTCAAGTTCGCATTTTTTAAAATTGGATATTTATGTGCCTATGTGACCGGTGATTTATTTTCATAAATCTGAGATTTCAGGTAGGTGTATCGCTTATTGCGCGCGTAATTGAATATGCACAGATACCGGTCCGTCTCCTCTTTTAAGTCCATTTGATTATTTTAGATACGATAGAACCCAATCAATCCACCTACAAAAAATAGGATCAAATACAGTGTGATTCAAAAAAACGATGCCAATATGGTATTTCATGAACGTCTAAAAATAAAAAAATAAAAAGTTCATATATGTTCTGAAACGTCCCATTACTAGATAGAAGGTGTTATAAGATTGAATGACAGACATGAATATTGGTCGACTAATGCCCGTATACACTATACATCAATTTTCAATGTCAGACTTCATTAAATACAGGGAATTTTCAAAGTAGAACGTCTGTATACCGATATAATCAAACCAATTTTTCTTCAAGAGGTGTAGTCTAACAAACATTTCTGAAAAGAAATGCCATAAATGTTTTAATGAGTCACTGGCGTAGAAATCATTTTTTTCTTCTGTTGATGTCAAAATGTCTGAATTTGCACGCCACTAATGTAGTGCCAGGCAAGAACATTTTTGCATGCATTGGTTATGCTGTACAAAATAAGGCAATATCACTCCGAAGATTTTTGTTTCGAAATTATAACTTCAACTGTACTGATGTACTTTATGTCCACTGTTTTCTTAATCACCCTCTAGACAGAAACAGGGTTGCGTTCGTAAGTTGTTACAGAGTGTGCTATTGTACCAATTTTAGCGTACGTGCTCAAAACCTTGGCAATAAAGTGTTGTCACTTGTCATTCTCAAATTCTCATACTTCATGTTTGTTTACTTGACTTGGGTACCAAAAGTGCTCAAAATTGGCGGAATATATATTTTTTTCTGCCTGCGGGTTTAAGGTGCCACTTTTTCGTACGCATTTCCGTTTGGAGAAACTGACTTTTCCACACAGTTCGACAAAGTTACTTTCCCGTGCGGCAAGCCGGGTGTTCAATTTAATCATTGTTTACAATACGTCATTGTCAAGATAAATGAAATGTTGCTGCCACATTCTGAAGGCTGACTGAATTTGATACTGGGTTAAATTGTTACAACATATTGTTGTTTTTCTTGTTACGCGGTGGTAATAGAAACAATGTTGCTCCCAACCCTTGCACACTCGACTGCTGCCCGCCCTCCACGTCGTTCTTTCAACTGCAGAGCAGAAAAGAATAATTTTCCGCACATGTTAAGAAAGAAACTATTCCACGATAAATGGGCTAACTCTTATACATCACTTTGCTTGTAATAAATACAATGGTAGCAGAAAACATGGTTAGAAATTGTCTGGCTCTTATGAAATACCTCATGACTCTGTAATAGTTTAGCCGTTCTAAAAATAAAGTTACACAGTCTTCCAGAGTAAAATTTCACCTGCTATTACTGTATACGGTATTACATTACCAAATGACTTACAAACGCACCTTGGTAGAAATTTGTACTGCTTAATTTATAAAAATATCTGTAAAAAAGGGACCAAATTAAGACCATGACGACCTGTTGGATATGTTAGTACACAAAAATTGTTTAAGTGCTACTTAAAACATCGGTAACTCAAAAGAGATTCAGTGGATTAAGTAGTTTAAAGAATCTTCGGCTGTTTTTTTTATTAATTCCAAAAATCTACAAAAAATATACTTTGCTCGCTGTGTTTTGAATTCTTATAACAGCACAAAACCGACTATTAGAAAATAACTAGTTTGGTGGCATCGCTCAAATTTCTAGAATCAAAAAAATTACTACTTGTGAGTTAGTGTGTATCAAAGAAGTTCATTGCTAATATATATCATCCATGGTTTTTCCGCTTTAATAATTTCCGAAATTGAATGAATATGGAATTTTTTTAATTTCTTGACCTAAAAAATTTGTTTGAAATCTGTAGGTATATATGCAGACCAAATGTAATAAAAAAATAATGAAACGTTAATTGACAATGCTTCATTTAAATTAAATGTTTATTTAAATCACATTAACCTTTGATATCACTACTCAAACCACTACTGTATGTTTTTTCCACATACATATCAAATTGTTGTAAAAATAACACAGGTCCTGAATGATATACGACAGAGTAAATGTTTCGGGGTTCATTAAACCTTTTTGCACGTTTATATGATATGTAGGTATGCGGTAATTATTGAAGCGCACCATTTTGCTCAAGGACACCTATTTTGATGGCTCCACGTGCAAGTGAATAAGAATCGAAATGAGACAGCACATTATGTATAGAGGAGAACTGCCATTCGTTGTCCTACCTGAGACCATGCTGAAGAGTTGCAAAATAACACTAGACAGCTGTCCATGTTTCATCATCTGTCTATCTGTCCGCGAGTCCTTGGCCCATCTATAACTTGGATAGTACAGGTCGGATTTTGATAAAATTTTCACACAAGGTTACTACTAAGCCAAGGACGAAAAAGCTTTGTAGTTTTTGAATATTACATCAATGGCGGCGGAGAAAAAGGCCAAAAATGAATAAATAAAAATCTATCAAACCGGTAGGTGGGAGGTTGTAGTGTGTGGTGGAAGGTTATCTCAATGTCTTTGATTTTAGTATGTACATTTACCCTTAAAACAGAATGATAGAGTAATTGTTTCGATACGCGTCACTGCTTTCGCGGTCTGGTATCACTAGCAAGCGTGCAGGTCTTGGTAAGTGTTCTGACCTTACTGCTGCATCAGGTATCGGGGAAAGACCACGTTGTCAGATGGACTACCGGTAGGGTAGGGAAAGAACGTTTATGGAATAACTGCGTGAACCTGTTTGACTGACTTGATCCGTTTAATTTCTCTGTTATACATATTCGTAACTTTTTTCTCAGATGCTCTAAGTTGTAGAGGAAGGATGCCTAATATCGGGTAGGTTCCGAATATCGGGCAGCGGTTTATTAGACGAGCTACTACAGCCATCTACTGTTATAATGACCAACATGTAACAGGAACCACATTAAATGCAACCTGTAACGTTCATATGTTTTTGTGACCTTCATTCTTGCCACAAACACGGGAAGTGTGTGAAATCCGCCACGAATATTTTGAAAGTGTTAACTAAATTGGTGTTATCATGAAAAGGTAGGGCTGTTTTTGTTTATTTTCATGTTCATATGTCTTCTGTAGGCTTGCAGCCATCCACTAAGGATTAGAAAAATGTCCCTTTCGATTTGCTTTTTAAGATAATATATTGTCGTAATATTTTGAGGTTATGTTTCCTAATATCGGGCATGTAAAGATGCCAAATATCGAGTACCCGATATAAGGAACACTTGATGTTGTGACGTAGATATTGTTTCATTATATTGAAGTTATAATTATTAAGCATCTGTTTATTCACAGATGCCACCAAAAAAAAGAAAGCAATGGAATGCAGAAGCGATGAAGAGGGCAGTAGAAGCAGTTAAGAACAAGGAAATGGGAACTCTCAAGGCGTCTAAAGCATTTGGCGTGCCCAAAAGCACACTGATTGATTATGTAATAAGTAAGAAACCGGTTGATACATTACTTGCTATCAAATTAGGCAGAAAACCTACTTTAACAAATGAACTTGAAGAAGCACTAGTTGAGTATGCTCTCGAAATGGAAAGAAGGTATTTTGGTCTCCGAGCGTCAGATGTAAGAAGACTAGCCTTTCAGCTGGCGATACGTAATGGGCTTAAGCATCCTTTTTCTTGCCGAAGTGCCGCTGCTGGAAAAAAATGGTTGAAATCGCTCATGTCAAGACACCCAAAATTGTCTTTCCGAAAACCACAGGGAATTTCTGCAGCCCGTGTTAAGGGTTTTACAAAAGAGAATGTTCAAGCATTTTTCAACCTCCTTGGTAGCGTTTTGCCAAAAGTTGGCTTTAATCCAGCAGCAATCTATAATGTTGATGAGACTGGTATTACGACAGTATCTACAACACAAACATCCCAAAGTGATAAGTTTGAAAGGAAAAAGGCAAGTTGCAGCTTTAACTGCTTCGGAACGGGGTGCTTTAGTAACTATTGTAACGTGTATGAACGCTGTCGTTACATACCACCACTGGTGTTTCCCCGCAAAAATATGAAGCCTGAGCTTCTAAATGGAGCTCCCGCTGGGTCCGTTGCCAGATGTCATCCATCGGGATGGATTCAGCAAGACATTCTTACAGACTGGCTGAGGCACTTTATTTTACATGTAAAACCTAGCGAATCCGAACAAGTTGTCTTGATATTAGATGGACACTATTCTCATTCAAGGAATATTGATGTTTTCAACATTGCCAGAGATAATTTCGTCCATATTATCTGCCTACCTCCCCATTCTACAAATAAGTTACAACCACTCGATGTCTCCTTTATGTCACCTTTCAAAACTTATTATGCTGCTGAAATTGAAACATGGCTTAGAGCAAATCCCGGGAGAGTTGTAACTTCCTATCAAATATCGGAACTAATGGGAAGAGCCTATTTAAGAGCAGCGAGTTGTGAAATTGCAGTGAATGGTTTTAGAAAATGTGGAATATTTCCATTCCAACCGACAATTTTCCGAGATGACGAATTTGCCATCCATTCTTCAAATGAAAGACAATCAGTCGAAGGAGATAATGACGAAAATCAGATTGCTGTGGATCCTGCTGTTGCTGAAAACTTAAGAAAAGAAAGAGAAACTACACCACCCATTTCGACACCTAAGCTCGTTGTACCTCAGGATATTTGTCCTATACTTAGCCTAAAGACAAAACATCAGTCTCCAAGGCCAGGTTGTTCGGGTGAAGCTTCAAAAAAAGGAGGTAAACGTGGTTCAACAGCTATCCTCACTTCTTCGCCTTATAAGACAGATTTAGAAGAGAGCTTGAAAAAAGAAAAAAGATCACACCGAAAAAAGTTAGCCTGAATCAAAATAAATCAAAACTAAAAAACGAGAAGGAAAAAGTTAACAATAAAAAATCGATCCCAAAAGGAAAAAAAGGAAGAAGGAGGAAGATAAGCTCATCTAGCAGTTCTGATAGTGATGAAATTCAATTGGTAGACACGGATGACGACA